GTAGACCATTAAAAACTGCTAGAATCAAGGTTTTTGGACTAACAAGACGAGACGTATTAGAGTTAGCCTATAATTTAGCCGTAAAAAATGGATTTGAACATAATTTTAATACCCAGAAAAAGGCCGCTGGAAAGGACTGGCTAAGAGAATTGTGCGTTTTTTGGGCCACTAAAAACATATTATAACCAAGAAATAAGCAAATGGCTCAAATCTCATCCTGGTCGAGTTGTGACACAATTTCAAATTGGTGGTCTGTTAAATGAAGCATATGGAACGCTAGTCATGGATTTGCCAAGACAGGCATCTACCCAATAAACCCTGATGTTTTCCCCGACTATATGTTTCAAGCATCTGAAACTACAAATATTATATTAAATAATAGTATCCAACAAGGCCCGAATGTTTTAAATGATAATAATGCTCTACCTGGAACTTCCCCTACCGCACCAGAACCTCCCCTCGCCATTCCTACAGTGGTTCAGAAAAACTTGCAAAATTCAACAAGTAGTGGTTCAATTTTGGTTTCACCAGCTGATTTAAGTCCAGTTCCGATCGGACCATTTGTTTCAGGCCAGGGAAAACGAAAGCCAAGGAAACGTCAAGGTACTTCTGTCCTAAACCCTACACCAAACTTGGAAGAGGCCAAAGAAAAAAACAAGCCGAAACTAAAGATCCCAGAAAAGATAAAAAGGGTGGTAACAAGAAAAGTTCTTGCAGCATTCGAGTCAGAAACAGAAAAAGAACCTTTTTCTGAAGATGAATAAGACGATTGTGCTTGCATTTATTGCACAGAATTGTACAAATTTTCCAAAAAAGGTTAGCTGTGGCTATGTTGTTGTTCGTGTAAAAAGTGGGCGCATGCCGACTGTGCCGGGGTGGACAAAAAAACAAAAATATTTGTTTGTGAGCTTTGTACCGTCTAAAAGTATATTAAACAGTATTGTGTCATTTTTCCCTCCGGGTGGGGTAAAATGAATTTTTCTTGTTTATTCTTATTTCTTTGACTAAAAGTCCATATTTTATATTTTTAAGTTGAAGTATCTTTTGAAATGTTGCAAAAGGGTTGGCTATATGTATTTTTCATTATGTACACCCTTCTCCTAGTAGCAAAAACATTAACATTGTCTACATTCAACCCATTTACATGTATATGATTTATCTGCTAACAGCAGAATACAATATTTCTCTGCAAAATGTAAACAACGCTGCAAGGAAAATTGCTCATGTATAAATTCAACAATTAAATCAAAATATATTATTTTTAAAGGACTTTTATCAACTATTATGTAAATTATAAATAGTATAATATAAGTATTTGTAACAAAATAATAGTTGTGTATTAATAAACCTGTTGCTACTATAAAAAATATATTTTCTACACCCGTATTATAATAATGCACTTATATGCCCATAATCCGTTTCATAATGATACCCATTATGATACAGATTTTTCATTACGATACAGATTTTTAATCAATAGAAACCTACAATTTTTCAATCAAGCATGCTGTTTGACGTTTGTCCTAGGTTCCTATGTAATTATTTTAGTTGTCAAAACGTATTAAATTTTCGTAGGTAGCTAAACTTCGATAATTATAATATTAAAATGTCTGATATTAGCGATATAGAAGACTCCTCCACACATATCGGAGAAAGCAGAAAATACAGTACAAAATATTTTACCGCAAAAATCTAGGGAAATACCAATACCTGAAGTAATACCATTAATTACAATTTTGTAGAATTTTTTATAGAAATACGAGTAATTACTGTTATTGTGTTCAATACCAATATAAATATAATATTTATAGGTCTTGATTATTTATCGGGTGTAGAAAAAATAGCGTATGCAACTCTCATGTAATGGTTATTAAAACACTCGCATAAACCATACGAAACTCGCCTTTGGCTCGTTTCGTATCCCGGTTAATGCTCGTGTATTAATAACCATCATTACATGATCGTTGCATAATATACTATTGTTTATTGATTATCAGGTATAAAAAATATGTGTACGTACCTATATAAAAATTTGTTGAAATGTTCTATTGCTCTTAATCTTTTTATCCGTCTATTTAACACTTACAAACATATGCATATTTTAAGTTGTAAGGATCCGTAGCCTCTTAATTTTTTTACATTAGACACAAGACCTGTGATCTTACATTAAATCGTGAATATGAAGTAAAGGATTTGGGAGTTGCCTTTCAGTGTGATTTAAATTTCAATAACCATTTCTTACACATATCTAAAAAATCAATAAAAGCTTTGGGTTTTTAATTTAGAAATACAACAAAATTTTAGGATTACCTCCAATATCAGATTATATAATGCCTTAGTAAGACTTAGTAAGACCCATCTTGAGTATGTTTCACAAATATGGATGCCTTTGGAAGCCACACAAATTGATCATATTGAAAAAGTACAAAAAATATTTTTACGGTACCTTTACGTCATAAAAAATACTCGTACCCTTATAAGATCTCATATAAAACTATGCTCGATAATTTTAAGATTAAATCTCTTTTACAAAGAAGAAGGCTGTGATACATTTATTTGTACTCTATTTTAAATAATTTTAAGTACAAAGATTGTGATTTGATCGACTATGGGGTCTATTCTGTAACAATTCCTTTATATTTAACGGCCTTTAAAAATATTTTCTTCTTTACTTCTGTCATTATTTAAACGGATCTTTAAAATACATTAGAGGACTATTTTAAAGAAATCTGTTTAAATAATGACAGAAGTAAATTAACGAATACGAACATATTTTTAAAGGCCGCCAATATTTTTAAAGGCCGTTGAATATAAAGGAATTGTTACAGAATAGACCCCTATATAAGTTTTAATGTGTGCAAAGATTAATCTGAGAATCCCAAGTAACAAAAAATTAGAACCAAGTAGTATATCTCCTTTTAACAAGATGATGACTGTTGCCAATGAGTTTCTTAGCGAGATATCTTTAATGTTAGCCTAAGAAAGTTGATGACTATACTAAATTAAATTCACTAGATATAAAGGTTTGTTTTGTTTTTATTTTTAAATTTCTTGTTATTTAACTCTACATGTAAATACTATTAATTTTTTTTTACTATCCAATAAATAAATTATACCTTATGGCTGCTTTCAACCAATTCTGTGTGTAGTCACTTAGTTTAAAGTCAATTTTAAATTAGTGAATTTAATAAGAATGTCATATAGTGATATGTATTGTGTCTATGAATTTGCTGTGTGTAGTAAATGGCCAATATACATAACTTTGATATAATAAAAAGTAATGATTTTAGTCTGCCATACTTGAAACTCATTCACAAAAACAAGTCATTGAGTATATATTTGTAAAAAACTACACTAAGTATGTCTCCGTTCTAAATATATATATTTAAAACTACATACTTCCTTATAGATTTTGCAGTACCTAAATAATGTATAGAATCAATTTCTATAATATACTAGAAAAGTCTTAGATTAGAGTAATTCTTAAGAAATAAAGCAATACCTCTATTTTGTTACTCTAACCTTGTGTGTTATATTATATTTCCCTTGACTTACTAACTTTATATTTTGAACTGAAAGTAATTAAACTTTTCACCAAAAAGTAAAATTTCACATATATAAAAAAATTTAAAACAGTTCTGTCCTTCTTACATTTGCGAAGACTGCCCTGATATCTAATCTATTTTCTTCTTCAAAGTAATTAAGTTGTTCAACCGTTGTCTATAAAGGTATCTCACATCTCGCTCATACACACGAATTTGAAAAGCAGCAGAACAAAAATTCAACTAACCATGTATACCAAGTCGGTGTAAAGAAAACTTTTCATATCCTGAAAACGTCAAGTGTCGACTAAAATTTCTACTTTTAAAGATCAAACGTGCCGCCTCAGAGTGCCAATACTGATTGTTAGATATACTGGGGTCGCACATAACCGTAGTGTTGATAATATCTTAATAACATATAAACCTTCAATGAGTCTTCTAAATGAAAGGTAAATTTCAAAAACCATTTTCAATAAAAATTGTTCTGTATATTTTCGTGTAGTTTAAAATAGCAGTTTAAATTGAAGAAACAGCTTTGTTAGTATTTAAAACGACGAAAAACTACTGGACTAATCCATTCATTCAAAATTAAGCCCTTATTTATTTATTTATTTATTCAGATTGTGTTTTATATTACGCAGACACAGCTGCCGCATTGGAAAGAACAAGATGGCTGCTTAATTGAGTGGAGATAATCTGTGCGAGTTTGTTTATTTGAATTTTATTTTATGAATGAATCAGAACTTATGTCTACCACGCTTGCTTTACGCTGCTGTCACACTTTTTTAGAAATTATCTTCAACTATAATAGTTGCAACGACAAAAATACTGTGATAACAATTGGCATTAAGAATAATATAATTTTAACTGCCTTTTGTGCGTTTTAGAGCCTTATGTTAAGAAGAAACTAAGAAACATAACACTAACAAACCCAGATAAATAACTATTTTGAAATTTCAGAAATGGACAGAGACAAATGCACTCCTTCAAAAAGTTACTAAAGAAATATTTACGGGGTGGCTCTTAGAGGAAATATTTCCAGAGCTTCTAGACCCATAGATAAGTTTCTATATGCAACTGTGTGATTAGGTTCAGTATGTACATAAAATGTATAATGAAGTAATAACTAATATCTAGTAAATAAACGGATGTACCTTTCATTAGCTTCTTGTTATCAAAGATAAGATAAACCATACAGTTTACCAATACCGGCTTTAGACGATGAATTTACAGGTGGAAAAACTCCACCATAAATAGTGTATTATCTCTTATTAATAACAAAATTCAGTTAACTTGATTGGTTGAAGCCAAGGTCACGTTACATAGGAATAATATTCATTATTTATATAATATAAAAAAATATGTACAAATAATAGAAAAAACATAAAAAAGATTTCATCATTTCCAATATCTTCAGTGGTTTCTAGAATTGCGAAATATGTAATTTTTTTATTTTAGGTGACAACATGATTGAATTTTTCCTAACCAATTGTAAATATAGTATTGAAAAAACTAAGCAAAACTTGGACATGTATTACACATCAAGAGATTTAATGCCTCTTATTTACAGAGGAGTACATCCTTGCAAATCTGAAGTAGATCCAGGTTATAAAACAGGGTAAGCATAATATAAATTGATATGAAACATCCAGTGACTTATATTTTATAAAACTTGCCCGAGACTCTCAAAGAGATGGTTGGTGCTGTAAAATTGACAAAATATTAAATAACAAATGATTTTACAAAAAAAATATATAGTATATAAAATAAAACTCTAAATAATTTATAATCTCTTTTGTCTACTATTTATTATCGCCTTTGCTACATAGATACTACCATGCCACTTTCGATTCCTCTCTCTCTCTCTCTCTCTCTCTCTGTGCATTCTTTCTATTGTGGCTCTTTTCTGCCTCCACCTCTACCTCTACATCTATATCTACGTCTACCTCTGCATCTGTCTCTATGTCTCTTTCTACGCCTTTTCTGTGTCACCTCTTTTTTAAATAAATTTTTCCGTATATCCTTTTTTATATTTTTCTTTATTTAAATTCTTCAAACATAACCAAAAGAAACAATTCTTATAACATTTGAAAACTTTTTCCCAAAAATTATTTTCCACTAATAATTAATAGTAATTAATGACATCCAGATTTTCAATCTAAACTTCGATTTTAAGCAACTGTTCCACCCCAGCATGATTAAAATTCAAAAAAAAATTTTGACGTCAATAATTTCCAATCAAAATATATCCATATAAAATGTATTTATTTAAATTTATTTTTAAAAATATATACATGTAAATGAATTCATATAACTATATTCATATAACTGTATTCATATAAATTAATTCATGTAACGATATTCATAAAAATGCGTTTTAATTTTTAGGATGGGTTGTACCTTGCCGAAATTGACTCAAGATATGTACCGAATAACTATATTTAAATATAATGATGTCAATCCTGATGATTCTGATGTGGTCAAATTTGTTGCACATGGTTTAAACAACATATATGAAGTCAGATTACATGAAGATTTGGTTTTAGGAGACATTTTTATAATAGATTTTGAATTTGTTAAGTTTGGGGTCATGGCGAAATTTTCTCCGATATTGATGAAGAACATAGCACAAGTCTTTGAGGTAAATACTAATAATTATTTTATTGCATGAAAAAATAATAAATTGTGTCGCATTTATATACAGTGTGGAAAAGCCAAATGGAATAAATTCGGTAATAAATAAATGGACACATCGATTGGTACCTATTTTTAGTTGCGCATTTTTTTAACAAAAACTTTTTATATAGGGTGTGTCATGTAACAGTGGTCAATACCAACTTTTTTATTTTAAATGCAACACCCTGTATATTTTTCAATTTTTGGATTATTTAGAAAATTCTAGACATATTTTATGTAATGTAACAAATGTATATCGCACAACATTTTTGTAATTTGTAATTTCTAAAAAGTATAATTGTAAAAAAGTATGGCATGCAACTTAAGCAGAATTTTTTTTCTACCGCTATTATAATGAGCCACCGAGATTAATCATAATTGGAGTTTGCTGTGAGATTTAAATGTTTTGGGTTGTTGCTTGCATCCACTTTCAAAAATTGACTTCAACACTTGACATTTTCATTATAAACAAATCCTTGAAAACCCCCAAACACTAAAAATCCAATTTTACCCCTACGAAATAATCATAATTATTTTTTAACTCCGAAGGTAAAAACAAATTTATTAACCCGTAACTGGTGACGTGAAATATTTTAGCACTGTTGGTGACATGGAGTCTGCCAGACTCCTCAAAAATTAAGCATGGTAGGGCTTCAGGAATTTTTACCTGGGTTATAAATATTTTTCACAATTATACACTGAAATATTTTGAAAATATTTATTGATCAAAAGAGTTACAATCAACAATTATTTTAATATTAAAAATAATAATGCAAAAGAATGAACATTTGTAGTAAAAAAAACTAACTTAACTTAAATCCTATTTTTTATAAAAAAAATAACTGATAGAGTGTAAAAGAAAGTGTGTCTACAAAGATTGATACCTAACAAATACAACTGTATATAATAGTTGCGTTTAGTTACAAAATGACACCAAAACTACAAGTCTCTAAATTAGTCATTTTTTGTAAGACATTCTCGGCACACTTTTTTATCTCATTCTAAGCAAATAGGTTTTTTGCATTGAAAACACTGGTATTTCGTTTTCCGGTGCAGTCTGGATGGACATAAGTAACAATATTTTCTTTTTTTCAAAGTTTCCTCAACTTCTTCACTTTCTGGAATATTTAGAACACGGCCGATTCCTTTACGAAAGTCAGTTGAAATTCTCTTATTCAAATACCTACGTTTCAAAAGCGGCCTTACAAGTTCCATGGCAAGTTGTTTCATAAAATCTAGACATGTAATCTGAAGGTTTCCTTTATAGGTCTGAAACATTATAAATGCATTTACTGTGCTCATATCTAGTATTTGAAAAAATACCGCCATTGGCCAACGCTGGGTTCGGCGCGATGAGCTATACACTGCACATTTCTCATCTAATGAGTCCACGCCTCCCTTTGTACTATTATAAAAGTCTATTATTTCTGGCTTTTCATTTATTGACAATTTAGAGTGATGCATGGAAGATACTAATACGACGGCTTTACCTTTTTTAGGCACAAAAGATATAATATTAATGTATTTAGTGAAACCATATAAAGACGAACCAACTTCTCGTTTTCTGTTTGGTAAAAAACATGGTGGTATTTCCTTTTTATTTTTTCGTAGTGTGTCTACGTATGTGAGTTTCATAGATTTTAGCTTTTCTACTAATTCAATCGAACTAAACCAATTATCGGCAGTAATATTTCTATTAGTGGCTTCAATTGGTTTTACAAGCCTGATTACTGACTGAGTAGGTATTTTTAGTTTTTTTTCTTCATTGTTTAAGCCCATGCTATCAGAACCTTTTCCGGTATAAATGTAATCATTATAAGCAAAACCGCTTCGAGCATCTGTAAGTAATATTACCTTTAAACCGTATTTCACTGGTTTTTGCGGCATATACATTTTAAATCTGCAGCGTCCCCTAAAGCCAATAAGCATCTCATCTATGATAGTGTTTTCTCCTACAGTATACATCGATTGACAGTTTTGAAAAAACATGGTAAATAACTCACTAATTGCAGCAGCTGGATTTGATAATGCTCTCATAATCCTGTCTTCGGGATTGTCAAACCTGAGGCATGCGAGTAATACGGAACATCTTTTTTCACTCATAACCAATCTAAAAATCTCTCTTCCCGTTCCGTCCGTAGCAAATAAAGCTGAGATATGTTCATGATTAGACTTAAAAGCCGAACTAAATACTGGAAGACCCATAAAAGCTTTCATCTCAACATAGTCCACATCCTTTAGTTCTGGTTTATCTTTTCTTTTGTAGCCCTCTTCCATAGTTCGTAGTTTTACATTAGTCCATTGCCCAATGCGATTTATCATATCGTCACTGAACAACAAGTTCCAAACTTTTTGAGGAAAATTGTATTCCTGAATTTTTGCCGGTTGCCGTAAGCCTGGCAAATAAACGATTTAATTGTGTGAAGGGGTTCTAACTTCTAACATGTCTTGTAGGTTCTTGACGCGACCATTTGTACCTATTTTTACCATAATAGTTTTTACTTGACTTTGATGTGTCGCTATTTCGCGGTTCTTCAAACACTTCTTCCAACTCTTCTTCTAACTCTTCTTCTAGTCCCTCTTTCAAATATTCATGCTGTTTTTTTGTGTTATTAATAAATTCCTCTTCCGTCTCAGATTCTGATAATAAGTCCGGAACTGTATCCTCACTTTTCATGTAAAAGTATTCATCAACGTTATCGACGTCACTGGACCGGCAGCTATCTTCTTCATACCACTGCATAAGAGTAGCATTATAATCTGGATCTCCAAATTTTACTCCTTTAGACGGTCTGGGTTTGTTTTCCATTTTTATTTTTTATACAGTAAAAAATAATGAGACCAAGTCGTTATAAATTTTCTTTGTATACTTACGTTATTGGTGACGTGGAGTCTGCTGGACTCCTCGGAAATTTCAAATGCACGTACTACCACTACTACGTCTTTCACGACACTAACCATGGAGGAAGGACACTAACGTTACCGCATGTGATTGCTGTAGGCATTGGTAAAAGGTACCTAGGAGGGGGAGTTCATATATGTTAAAATTCAAAGATGGCGTGATTCAAAGAAGTTGTTGGAGTCTGGCAGACTCCATGTCACCAGTTACGGGTTAAAACTTTGGAAATTCGAAAATGTCAACGGGGGTATTCGAACCCACCTATTCCTATTCTATGCACAGCGGTCTAATGAACTGAGCTATCGCCGAAATGATACTACAATAAAAAAATTAACAAACAATTAATTTAATATGGAAATCATAATCAAAATTTCGATAAAACTATATACATTTTTAAAAATGAACCAGGATTTCTTATTATAGTCATCCAGTCTTCGATGTCACTTTGAGTTAACAATGTAATGTGCCTTTTCTGTTACTACACCCACAATATTTTTATATTTTTAAAGCAAATAAAATAAACCTACTCCTACGCTTCTGACTTCTTAATCCATGTACCTTCTGTTCTTGATGCTATAAAAAGAAGGTATGATATTGCGCAGATTGATACAGATTAACACCTTAAACTTGGCTGCAATGTTCAATCAGATGCTTGTGATACTGCCGAGGACGCTTAGTGTTGGCTTCAGAAATTTTGTAAACAATCCTATCTGTCTTGGTTATATATCTTTGAACCAAGCCACTACAGCTGTTCTCCAATATCGTAACTGGGAGGCGTTAGCCAGGAACGCACGAATGCATTGTCATTCTTGGAGTTAAGTGAATGGGTCTGTAGTCCGGATAGAAAGGAGGATACATTAATCTTTCACAATGATATATACTTTCCTAAAGAAGTCGTAAGTGTTTTGGGATCGAATCCCGAGGAAGTCTTTCACTGCATGACGCACTTATACCAAGATAGCGAAATAATGTCGTCCATGATGTCCCAAGAGATAAAGCAACTGCGTTGCTTCAGAAATATTTGGTCCCCTCCAACTTTCCTAATTTGAGACCGCCATCACTGAATCCAGAATTTGTGGCAATTTCAGGAAGAACTAATGTAATCAGGGACGAATTCCAAAAGGAGTTTTGGTTTCACATAGAGAAAATTATATGCGCGTTAGGTCTAGAGATTAACGTCATATTGAATGTCAAAGAGAAGATTCCTTCTGAAATTAATGAGGAACTTCTAACGCACCTATCCGATGCGGGAAGATTATTCACCAATTTATTCCATAGATGACAATGTCGATAAGGAACTGCATTTTTCGACCTACCCTGCATTATTTTAGTTTGAGCAAGGATCTGACTCAACTACTGTTAGGAAATTTCAAATGAAGAGGGGGACAACCTATTATACCGAGACGGTATATCTAGAAACCTTTCAGAGAGGAGCGGAGGAACAAGAACAGGGGACCACGCTGCTAACGCCATCTCCGGTCAGTAATTCAGACTATGCAGGTAGCCTAATATTTTTTCATAACGAATGTCATTATATTACAAATAATCCAATTATTCACGGATGGTTGCACGGCTATAAAATTCTTTTCACTACAATTTCATTTTAGACTTCCCCTCATGGGCCTTCAAAGTTTTTAAAAATCGATATCATCTTAATGTTGCCAGAGAATAAAAATTTGTTAAAAATTGGTTCTATTCAAAGGTGCACATTATCTCCAGATCCATTTATTTCCCAAACATTTCTTACGGAACATTCAAATAGCGGGAAGAGATTTATAATAAATCTTAAACATTAAAATCTGTATGTGGATGCACCACATTTTAAAATGGAGGATACTAGGACTGCAATAAGACTTAAAAGATGCATTTTACATGCTTTCAATTAGCAAATAGAACATTTTTTGCCTTTAAAGGTTCTTTTACCAGTTTTGTTACCTTGTATTTGGCCTCTGCTCCATATACGTTCACGAAACTAATGAAACCTTTCATTGAATGATTACGCTCATGCGGAATTTCATGCTTAAATTACTTGGATAAATTTCTATTCATTGGAGATTTCTTGCAGG